GCTATTATTTGTTCCAATCCGTCGTGGCGCTTGATATGACCAAAATATTTCAGCTTCCGAGACAGGATGTTGCTTATTGGCCAATCTTCCTTGATGTTCAGATTTTTCAAGATGACAGTATTTCTTCTCTTCTTTGTCCAAGATATTATGAGAATCTTTCTATAGCATTTCAGCAAACAGGCACTGAAGGAAAATCAGGGGACTGGGGAACCGATGACGTCAAAAAGGATCTCTAAGTTGGAAGCTGACGAGAGAAATTAAAAGTGCTCGACTGAATTCCACCCACGAAACTAAAGTGATTGCACGGGATATCAATACATTGCACAGGATATCAATACATTGCACAGGATATCAATACATTGCACAGGATATCAATACATTGCACAGGATATCAATATATTGCACAGGATAGAAAGGAATGCAAAAACAGACTGCGTGCAGTGATGTGATATATAATGGCACAACATTACAATGAAAATGTAATGTTATGTTCCTATACTGTGATACAATGCGGGGGTGGAGGGGGGGGGGGATTGAGACTCAACACATGTGACAGTGAAACAGGACTAGAGCTTCTACTGATTAAGGCCTTTCTACGCCTTTACAGGGTCATCACAGAAACGGGTTTCCAATAGGGAGCCTGGCCAATGCAGAAATTATAGTCGCTTTCTTCGAATTCGGAGTAATTCTGCCTCAGAAAAGAGGAACCAACAGCTAAATCTAGAAAGACGACAACGAGGACTTTCAGCCAATGAAGGCTAGCAACAACAACTACAATAACACAGTGTGGTATCACTTGTTAGTCATGCAGTTACTTGCGAAGCGAATGTAAACAAAATGCTAAAACATATTGCACTTTAGAATGCCTGTAAATGTAAAGTAATTGTTCTCTCCGACATGCCTTGGTACAACTAATTAGCGCAAAATCATAACAGCATAGACATCGTAGAAGAACTGTTTATGTAAACAGGAGAGATAAAATGCAAAATGAAGAAATTAGAAGAAGACTGACCTTAAACAGTTGTAAGGTTTATTTAAGAGCGACAGATCGGGTGGTTTGGTCATGAGACAAGAATTTCCCTGTAGTAACTTCCATAGAGAACCAGGCTGAAGAAATAAAATAACCACAGAGCAAATGGAAGACCACCCGAAATGTGGCATCAACAGCAGCCCTAAAGAAATGAAGATCAACGTATGCAAAGAACGCATGATAAACCGCACACATAAAATCCTCACAGCCTACCCCAACACCTAGTGGGGTAACTGGTGAAACAGTAGAAGATGAAGATTACTTCCAATGTTTTTGTCTCCTATAGCAGGCCGGATTCTGACTTGATAAGGTCCTAAGCTGTATTAAGTCCTGAGGCTCCCAGTGTTTTCAATTAAAGTTAGCTAATATCACATGACGTTAAAGGGACCGGTACCATCAACTCTGGTGCTGGAGATGAGGATGGTGCACCCATAAGAATTCCCCGAGTGCTGTGATGTCAATTTTTGACTCAACTCAACTCAAGATACGTTAAAATATGTAGGCCGTTTAAATATTTGAATGATGGAAATATATTATTGTTTAATTTTTAATTTAAAAAAAAAAAAATAAAGAAGGCACTTGCAAAATCGCTGAAATAACATTATATACTTCTCCTGCAGACTGTTACAGGAAAATTGCTCTTGTGAACAAAAACTTGAAATGTATTGACTGTTAAGGCCCCTAGAAATTGTCAGGCCCTGAGCAGTAGTTTAGTTAGCTTATGCCTAAATCCATCACTGATCTACAGCGACCCGTCACTGAGTTATGCTGTGGTAGTTCTGTTATGTTCTTTTTTTTTTTCGCAGGCGGATAAAAAGACAGTCAATAAAGAACACATAGGTAAGTTGATATCTTTGACGTTGACAATGTAGAGTTGTATTTTTTTTTAATGTCCACGCCTAAGGCATATTTGGCGTATAGAGTCTAGCTCGGTACTCGATGGGTGATGTCAGCATCACGCCAGCCACTTTTACTTCCCAGGACTTTACGTGGTACCCATTTAAAGCTGGATCCATTTTGAAGCCAGGGTCATTTTTTGAAATGATGTCAGGTTTCTTCAGGAGCTAGACCCACAACCTTTAGAGCCGCTACACCACGGCGGCTCCCGCTAGCAGTGAGTCACAGGGAAAACTCTTAGGATTTGTGGTTAAGATTCATTAGCGCTGTTGTATTCAAACACCCTTACCGTTCAACGTGTGACCGACTGACTGACTTTTTACCCCACCGGGACATCACACAAGCGATAAACACCCGATGACACAATGTGCCACCATGTGGGTGAGGATCACCATGGAGAGGTCCCAGAAACCGCGTTCAGCCTTTGGGCCATATTTATGGCCATGCTATATTGCGGCCCCTGGCAAGAGCCAGAGTAGGGCTTCAAATAACGAAAAATTTTGTCCTAAAACGGACGGGAAGTAATTTTAGGTTCAACGTGTGTTGTCCATTTAAATTCATTCGAATTTGAGGCTTATCTACCAGACTGTGACATAATTAGGTTTTACGAAAAAGGGGGAGTAGCGGGGGGGGGGGGGGGGGGAGGGGTAGAAGGAGGGTGGGGTAGATCACAGAAGCTAGCTTCAGACCTCAGAAGTGAGATACAGTATCTGAGAAAGGTGGTCCAAATAACAAGAAGGGACAAAGTTCATAGTCAGCCAGAGATAATCGGCCACCACTGTAGGTACTAAGGCCAATAATCAGGGAAGCAGACCACCATGGCGACCCAGGGTTCGATAGGATGGGAAGGCAACATCCGACAGTCCTTGACTGACAGAGGTTAGGTTAGTTGCCTATCCTTTACAGGACGTTGCAGAACCAACCCCAACAGCCTCTGGCTGTTGTGTGGTTTTTCTAGGCAAATTTACGTCCAGTAGTTTGCCATTGCTTTCTGGGCGGTATGTTTCTTTGATACCACTGTCGAAACCAACGCAAGGCGCATGGCCAGCAGCTGGGATCGAACCCGGCATCCCGGCATTACGAAGCGTTCGCATCCACTTAGCCACAGAGTTGACTAACTGACAGAGGACTGGAACAAAAAAGCAAAAAACTTGATAGATGTGATCTCTCTGTTAAACCTCTACACTCCCGGGAAGAAGAGGATTGAATTAGTAAGTAAGAAGGTAGTGGTGTAGGCCCACAGATCAACACCTAAACCTTGAGGACCAGGGTGTCTTTACTTTTCTGTTCTGCACCCTTTGACTTGCCTGTCTTGTAAAGGTAGTTAGCTAACGCTACGGCTGGCGTAGCTCGCAGTGCCATTGAGAAACACAAGCTACTTGCGCCACCACCACAGCCACCACCGTTATTACTAGTATTACCACCACCTCTGCTACATCCCTGGTGACCCACTTGCCAGAGTTAGTAAAAGGTCCCTGGTTCACGCCAGTGGGGTATCGGGCATATCATGCTAGACTCATAAATGTATAAAGCAATCGGCACTCAATGGCTGATGTGGTCAACATCACTCCGACCGCCTTGACTTTCCAGGATATTGCCTGGTACCCATTATAGGTTGGTTCGACCTGGTAGCCAAGTTCAGAAACATTTTTCTCTGTATGGATTTGAAGCCTGGACCTCTGAGACGTCAGTAGAGCATCTAGGCACTGCGCTGACCTGAGAGGTAGTATTTCTGAAGGTTAAAGGTTAAATGTGAGAGGATCACTTCATTGCACTGTACTTTTATCTTATAGACTCGCCAACTGGCTGGCCGGTGGACGACATCGTCGAGGGTCGGGACAGTATCTGTGTCTGTCTCCTGTAATCGTATCAACACTGCAAGAGTTCTTTAAAGGGCTACTTGGTAGCGAACAATGCTAAACTATTTTATCTGGCGCAAATAACCCCACCAGAATTATAACCTAAAGCTCCTCCTCTGGAGATGCTGGTTGAACCTGACGATTTTTTTTTCCGCACGGCGAGTCAAGTCAAATCTTGTACTGCTCAGACTTCAGCGCGCAAATGCCTTGTCCGCTTCGCAACGAAGATTCAGCTAATTTTGCTGTATTTGTTTATTTATTACAGTGACATATTTACAACACCTCCGCCGATGTGTCCATTTTCAGAAAGTTGCGTGTCCAGTTTACCGATGCCAAAAGTGCTGACCAATAAATACGAAGTGGGGAGACCGATTGGGACTGGAAATTTTGCTGTGGTCATGGAATGTAGAGACAGGTAAGTTTGTGGACACCGGGATTTGGGGAGGGGGTGTGGGGTAGCTTAGGCCCTTTGCCCCCCCCCCCCCCCACCCAATCAGCCTTGACCAAATGCTTGGGAGGTGCTCAGTCTCCCTCCCCTAGGAAAAAAATATTTTGGGAGCTGTCGACAGTAGTAGGTATGGTGATGGGTAGGTATTGTAGTGCATAAGAAACAAAAATAGAGCCTCCAGGTGACTCATTGTGGTGGCCTGTGTGGTGGCCACTACAAAATAACCCAGCCACTGTAATAGACCCAAAGAAGGAAAAATCCAAGCCACCACAAAATAACCGAGCCACTGTAAGAGACCCAAAGAAGGAAAAACTCAAGCCACTGCAAAATAACCGAGCCACTGTAAGAGACCCAGAGAAGGAAAAACCCAAGCCATCACAAAATAACCGAGCCACTGTAAGAGACCCAAAGAAGGAAAAACCCAAGCCACCACAAAATAACCAAGCCACTGTAATAGACCCAAAAAAGAAAAACACAAGCCACCACAAAATAACCAAGCCACTGTAATAGACCCAAAGAAGGAAAAACCCAAACCACTCCAAAATAACCCTGCCAACGTAATAAACACAAAGAAGGAAATACCTGAGCAACCGCCAGACAACTGAGCTATTGTAACAGATCCACAGAAGAAAAAAAAATCAGAGTCACGAATATCCCCAAAGAAGAAAGTACTTCACACCAAAGGCGCCGAGCCATCACTTGTGACACAAATAAGGAAAAAAAATAACCTGAGCCAACACCAAACAGTCCGGCCACAATGACATAAAGTGCAGAAAAAAAAAACTTGCCTCCATATTTAGGTCAATTGTCGGCTCTTTTTTCTTATTTTTTGTGACAATTTAAACCACCTCGCAGCCTGGATTTAATACCATCACTCTATACACTAATATCGACGCCCTCTAACCATGTGTAGGTAGAAGCTCCTTTTAATTGTTTTTGTATGTATATTTCATTTCTTTTCTTATACACTCTCATATTTACCTGTCATTTTGCCTATTGCACACAGACACACATTTTTATGTATAGCATATTATATATGTATATACATACATACATACATACATACATACATACATACATACATACATACATACATACATACATACATACATACATACATACATACATACATACATACATACATACATACATACATACATACATGCATACAGACAGACAGACAGACAGACAGACAGCACGCACGCACGCACGCACGCACACACACACACACCACACGCACACCACACACACACCACACACACACCACACACACACCACACACACACACCACACACACACCACACACACAATCCACACACACACCACACACACACCACACACACACACACACACACACCACACACACCACACACACACCACACATACACTACACACACACCACACACACTACACACACCACACACACCACACACACACCACACACACACCACACACACCACGCACACACACCACACACACCACACACACACCACACACACCACACACACACACACACACCACACACACACCATACACACACACCACACACACCACACACACACCACACACACACCACACAAACACACACACGCACCACACAAACACACACACACACACACACCACAAACACACACACACACCCCACACAAACACACACAAACACACACACACCACACATACACACCACACACACCACACACACACCACACACACACACCCCACACACACCCCACACACACACCACACACACACCACACACACACCACACACACACCACACACACACCACACACACCACACACACACCACACACACACCACACACCACACACACACACCACACACACACCACACACACCACACACACACCACACACACACACACACACACACACACACACACACACACACACACACACACACACCACACACACACCACACACACACACACCACACACACACCACACACACACACACACCACACACACACCACACACACACACCACACACACACACCACACACACACACACCACACACACACCACACACACCACACACACACACACAATTGAAACAGTTGAATATTTTCAGGAAAACAAAACGAAAATATGCTCTCAAAATCATCAACAAGGATCTCTGCAAAGGCAAGGCAAGTGCAGCTAGAAGTGATTCATCATTTATTCATTGTACTGTTGTTCCGTTATATGTCACGTAGGGCTCATAGTCTATTTCTTCACTCCGTTTTATCCTGTGTAATCAAATCAATATCGTGGATGGAATCTAATCCCTGCGTCACCATTCTCTTCCCGCCGTAATGTTCTTCTTCTTCTTCTTCTTCTTCTTCTTCTTCTTCTTCTTCTTCTTCTTCTTCTTCTTCTTTCGTTCGCCTCACAATAGATTGTCTATATCAACAATTTTATCTCTTGTATAAATTTCACTGCCGTTTTTAGTTCATTCAGTGGTCCGTGAAGTTTAAGTTCTACTGTTCTTCTTTCTGGCCAAAAGATTTGCCTTAATGTTTCATATTTGGTGCAGTCATGAAGTATATATTCTGTTGTTTGGGGTACTTTTCCACAGGTGCACATGCCCGATACGCCTATCTTGAATTGCATGAAAATTTGGTTGCCTATTTGTTGGTGCGCTGTTCTGAGGCGAATGGTAATGACTTGTTCGGATCTGTCCATAACAAAAGTAGTCGTCGCTTGCTGAGGCTGGTGGTTTCCTGGTCGATTTAATGATCGTTTTCTTTTGGTGGTATCTAACTGGTACGGCTGCTCTTTTGTTGCACCCTCCCCTGCCAATTGTTCGTCTTTCTCTTTTCCGGGCACTCTACAGCTGGACGGTATCCACTGCATCGCAACTCTACGCTGAAAGCCGAGTTGTTTCAGCAGTGTTTGCAATTCTAGTAGTTTCCTAGACTTGAGTGCTTCAAGTCAAGATCTGAATTTAGCAGTCTCTCTGTTGCTATCTTGATTGCCTTTTTTCGTAGTTATGATGGCAATATTCTCCGGTTGGTACACCGG